GATTCGAAATTTCGTAACAGTGAAGTCTGACTTCAAAGAAAACTTCTACCAGACAACACGGCACAACATCCCAGAAGGCAGTCATCTGCACACTCGTCGCCCTCAGAACCTAAGACCTGGCAGTGGAACTGGTTCGTCATGAAATAAAACAGCTGGATGGGCGAATACAATGTTGCACACAAAGATTTCGAAGTCGCTTGACTTGTGCACTAATTATCAATGATGTAAAGGTTTAGCAACTGACAGCGATGTGATTATGAATGACAGTACTTTTCAGCCATGACATGCTAATCTGAATATCAATCGGGCATAAATTATGAACCGTGAATTAAATTTTTTCGATAATTTTTAATGACGCACGCTAGTCCCAGTCTTGCATCTGAACACATTTAGATTAAAATATAAAATTACAATTTGATCTGTCTTTTTTGTACAGGCGTGACACCCTGTCCAACATATCAATGGAACAACATACAACAAGGACGTTTGTGGACAGAATGATAAGAATATTTCGGCCTATCTGGGCCTAAAACGAACTAATACGAGGCTGGATAAGGCTGCTTAATGAGGAACTTCAAAATTTTGGCTCTTCACGAAGTATTATTATGCTGATAAAATGAAGGAGGATGAGACGTGTGGGGAATGTAGCACGAATGGGAGTGATAAAAATAGGACATTTAAATGGGTCTTGACATAATCAGAGGGTGGGGACTATAAATCAATCTGGATCAGGACAAGGATGAGTGACAGGTTCTTGTAAACACGATAATGAATATTTGGGTTCCAAAAAAGGCAAAACATTTCTTGGTCACCTGAGCGACTATTAGCATTTCACGAGAGCCTCCAGTAAACATTACCTACAAAAATAAAAGGTTCTGTCAACAACCAGTTACCAATGCAGCAAAACTATAAATTAAAATAAGAAACATTTGTCTGAACTTCGCTTTAACAAAGCAATGCACTGTGCTACGTATCCCTTATGTGTGCAGTGAAGGTTAGGAACAGTCAGAATCTGCACTGAGGATCTTCACAGCTTTTGAGAAATCCAGATATAGCAGTAATCTAAAATATTATGGACAGCTAGTGACTACCGATTCGGAATGTAGATGATTCACTGCAAAATTTTATGCCAGATGAAACTTAATCTTATCACATTTCACTGTCTCGACATAACAAGGTGTGATAACATATCTAACATTCTTATTGGAAACCTTTCGTTTTTCAGATACATGCACATTTCATAATGTTAAAAAACATGTTTTCCCCCCAAATATTTGTAAAATAATTTTTTTTAAAAGTGTAGTGCAGAATTTTAATCAATAGAATCCTAGATTAAATTTTCAAATGCTATTAATACTCCCAACACACTACATGAATAAAGGCCTCCTTGAAACTGCACTTGTACTGTTTACTTCCTTATGTATGCTAATCAGTTTGTTAAAGAACAGGACAACAGCGTCCTGTGTTCATCAGCTACGCAACAACTACATCTCAGATCTGTATGCAATAACCAGATAAATGTTTCCTGAATGGTAAATTGTCTGGATTGTGATTGTTTAATGACCATTTAATTCCACTCTCCTTTGCATAGTTACTGCGATCTACCTGCACAGTTGTAGTTACTCAGCTGATCAGCTTTTATGAAACCTGAAGGTCGGTCACTGTCACCACAAAAATCTTCTATTGTATTGTAATCTGAGCTACTTAAATTCGACTGACATTTTCACACAACCCATTTTTCCTAACCCATTTCAATATCGCGTTCAAAACAAACCAACTTTCCATAAAATATTAAAACTGAATTTAGGTTTACCTGCATTCTACACGTCCAACCAATCCCATCCTTTACTTTTATTTACAACGACATAATCAATATACAAGTCACGAAAAAAGTTGTATAAATAATAGCCTTTTCGTTAATGAGATATCATTATGATGCAACTGTTTGGCCTAAGTACCAAAGGTTGCTAAATAAATATCTTTCTGAGTCTCCTGGGTGATGAAGTCACTAGATATGTTCAGTGTGCATCACTACCTTTATTATGCATGAACACATAAACGACTGGACAAGTCTGTCCGTCCACATGTTTCACCTTGAGAACCCCTACATGGATTCAAATGAAGTTTGGTATGGCAATGGGGACTACTCTAAATTCCTCTGATTTAAACACTTTTGATACCTCTATGATAGAATAATAGGTTCCACTTTAAATTTATGCAGCATCTATTTCTACAATAAAAGCATCAAGTAAAGGACGCCATTAGTGGAAGACCAGACAGAAAGCTTAGATGTCTTGATATTAAAATCCAACCTAAGAATCCTTCTTGATAAGCTGACAATTACTCAGCTGCTACAAGTATTCCTTACAAAATGATTCACTAACATGTTCACAACATTCCACCACTGGATCATATCCCCAGTGAATGAATCCAGTCCATTTTAATATTATCCTCCCTCTTAAAAGTGGCTGTTCTGTTCTGGCTAAATTGTTTAATGAAATTTTTATTATTTAAATCACAAAACATAAAAACATTACACATTTTGTCCTAAATGGTCAACTGGAAGGACTCTTCACAGAACTGTTAACTTGTCACTTGAACAACCATGCAAGGGCTTTTCCCAATGCAACATGCAGTAGAAGACTGCTCTTGTCAGGTCTTTTATATTATAACTTAAAATATGCCAATTAAACAAACACCAATTTGGTTCAGAGATGTTCAAGTCAATTTTAAAAGATACTGACAATGGTGTGTTACAATCAGGATCACTAAATACTTGGGACAATGTCCATCGTCTGTTTTCTTAAAAGGAACACTACCCTTTGAAAGCTGGATCTGCCTCCATCCTCAGGTTAAAATTGGGGGAGGGGCACCTACTTGGTTGCATCAGAATAACTACATCTACATAACCACCTGAGATCATATTTCATCAACAGGTGATAGTAGGAAAAATTACAACAGAAATTACAGTAATGCATTAAAAGACCTAAAATAAAACTTTTACTTCCCTTTCAGTTTCAATTATAGGTCAGGGATGAGCTGTATTAAATGTTGAGGTGGAAGTGTTATCCAATGTTTCAGCAAACATTGTATTTGCCATCTTCAGTGTGAATGTGTATGGGCTAGGTGTTTTTGGCAGTTTCAGATATAGCTTATAGGTGGCAAGTGGGATATGATGAAACAGGCTATTGTTGTGAAGGTGTAGCTGCTAAAAGTAAAAGTAAAGCTGTCCCACTATACGCCATGTAGGCGCTTGGGGGGGGGGAAGAGAGGAGGTACAGCTCCTACTCATTCTTGACCTTGGTACTAGATGGGAGTGAGTGGTCAGCATCATGCTCCATTCGCACTTTACCCCCAGGAAAGGACCCAGGTACCCACTGGATAGGAGACTGGGTGTGCCCTAGAGCCAGCCTGGATGCAAAAGGCTAGAGGAAAAATCCTCTGCCCTCATCCAGGATCGAACCCTGGTCGTCCAGTCTGTAGCCAGTCACTATACTGACTGAGCTATGTCAGTTAGACGTGCAGCTGCTATGAATATAAAAAATTCATTAATAATTTCTATCCATAAATGTGCAAAAATTAAAACATACAGGTATGTAAGAAGCATGTTGTCAGTGAAAGGGTGAATGGATGTATGGAAGTAGTTAGTAATTAAGTTGTATTTCTGAAGCCTTGCTATTATATGCAATTTTAGTTCCTTATACAATACTTAAGTGGTGGAGTCCTTCTGGTCAATAAATTCTACATCTCTTATGAAACCTGACGATTAATTTATATTCTGTTCTGAGCCAGATAAAACCAGTTGACACCCTCACACTTTTGTTCAAGCACCAATCGATAAACAGCCTCCCACCTATGGCTAGGTCCCCAAAACTCCCTTTCTTTTGGTTTTCTGCAACAAAATTTTGTATGCATTTCATACCTTTCTGTTATATACCCTGCCCATCTCATTGTCCTTGAGCTTATTATCCTAATTATTGGGTGAATGTGCAAATGGATTTGAGGAACTGCTAAGGAATTTGCCTTCGACAAGGTGCGGATTGTGTCGTTGTACAAGATTCGAACTGATTATCGCTTGGATAACCTTCCAGCTTTGTCTTGAGTACTTCGTGGTTTTACTTTCGTTAAGTTAGAGAATTTGATGGCGTTGATTCCGATTCTGCCTCAGATAATTCGTTGTTGCGATAATGGAGGGTTAAAATACTTGACCAACCCCCTTTTTCGGGGGAGCTTGTACAAGTGTTTAAAAAGCAACCAACCCCCTTTCGGGGGGGTTGGTTGCGTTTTAAAATCTTGAGTAAGACACTAAACTCGGCATTGTTGTGTTGTACTAGGCACTGTTGTGTTGTACTCGACATTGTCGTGTTCCACAACAATGCCGAGTTTGTTTATACTCGGCATTGTTGATGACGTAATTTATTGACGACAACGAGGACTCACAAATTTTTATAATAGATAGATTCTTTGTTGTGAAGCGTTATATTTGCTTACTCGACATTGTTGTGTTCCACAACAATGCCGAGTAAACAAATATCTGTTGACATTGTTGATGACGTCATTTTTTGACGACAAATTGGTTGACGACGACGAAATCAGAAATTTTTATAGTAGAAGATAGAAGATTCTTTGTTGTGAAGCGTTATATTTGTTGATGACGTCATTTTTTGACGACGACGAAATCAGAAAATTTTATAGTAGACTAGCCCTGAATCTGAAAGGTCCCAGGTTCAATATTGATCACCATCACTAACAATAGGAGACAAAAGTATCAGTATAATGATGTGAAGACAGGAGGAGAACAACTCCTGAAACATCATGCCTATCAAATATGCCTCAAAGAACAATGTCTAACACTTTTTTTACAATAAAACAACCAAGCCAAGAGAACCATACCCCCTTCTAGATTAGGAACACTGATACACCACTTTGATACTTCTTATCTGGGCCTTATTGATTTATGTCAACTACTCTCCAAACAGATGTATTTAAAAATGACTCACCATTGATTTATTTCTTCTGCTGCTGAGAATCAGACCATCATTTTCAATGTATGATGGTACTGGACCCTTTCGACCACTGAAGTTGAAAACCATTGTGTTCTGTGGTTGATTCCAAGGTTTGTTATCCCACAGTCCTGAAGATTTGGAATCACTAGTACCCGTAAGTGTTGCAGAGTCTCTCACAATTTTTACACTATCATCTGTATGTGCCCTCGCGGGCTCCATTGACACTTTGCCTACAACTTCATTTGCCGGTTTCAGTGAAACTACAACTTTACTGGTTGGTTGTTCGATTGATTTTGTACGATTAATAAAGTTCTTTTCAATTTCAACATCTGTGAGTGAAGGAGGTGGTGAAGTTGGGTGAGCGTTGTTAACAATTGGACGTATGACACCAACTTGTTTGATCTGCGTTTGTGGTGAGTCTGGGGATTTTACAACTGGTGGAAGTGATGTCGATTTTGACGTAGTTTCAAAATCCTGTCTCTGAAGAACAGGTGAAGTGACCTTTTGGTTCCTAGTTAAATCCTTTGATGTTACTGAAGTCTTTCCAGTTGGCAAATAACTTTTTGCTCCTGGAAGATATGACTTTGGTTTGGTGCTTGCAGAACTATTTCCAAATATAAACTCCATTGACATTCCATCTTTTCTGATGTTGTTCAATGCAGAGTTGGAGACAGTTTTTGTACTACCATCTACAGTGTCAGCAGAACCATCATCATCACCATCATTGTCATCACTAGTACTACTATATTCTTCAACAGCCAAATCTTGTGCTGTAATTTTTCCATTTGTCACCGGTGTATGATCATCAACCTGTGAAGCAGGTATACCAGTTATTTTCCTACCACTTTCTGTAGGTGATGGGGATTTTAATCTGGTAGTTTCTGTTGAACTGACTGAAGGCAGCAATGAAGGTGAAGACAAGCTACCTAGTGTATGAATCCTGCTACTCAAGGCTGGTGTAGGTGTGCTGTGCTGAACATCAGAAGGAAATGGTGTGAGTGGTACCTTCCTTGGAGATTGGGAGTTTGGAATATTCTTTTCTGGGCTTAAAACTGGCTTTGGTGATAACAGTGGTTTAGCATTTGAGGAGCCTTTAACTTCATTCACACTACTGTTGACTTTTGACAAAGGTATGCCACCATATTTATATGAAGATGACTTCAGTGACACACCTGATACTCTGGTCAATCGTGATGACTTCTTTGAAGGTGTTCCTTCAAATATCTTCAAGGTTTGTTTGACAACATCTGGTGGAGGCAACTCTGTCTCTTCAGGAATACTAACTGTTCGCTTTTTCTGCTGGAACACTGGCACCTTTTCTTCACTAACAGTCTTCTTAGTACACTCAACCTTCATTTTATTTTCAACAATGACTATTTCTTCATTTCCTAGTGCCTTCAGTAATTTGGTGTTATTCTTATTATAATCCCTGAATTCCGACTTGACTACATGATCACAAACTGGCAAATCACTTGTAATACTATGTCCTGTAGTAGCATGAGACTTGGGGACATAACGCAGAAGTGTTTCAACTGATCTAGCACGTTTCAAAGAATCATTCCTGCGACTTGTAGGCCGATATCTTTGTTGGTGTTCTAATTTATGTTCTGCTTTACTTGTGTTGATTGTGGCATCCGTCCTCTTGGTAAATTTGTGTTGGGTTATCTGTGGTTTTCCTGCATCTGAATCATTATCCAACATGTTTTCCAAGCTTGTGGCTCGCCTCATATTTGATAGCAAAGGCCTAACCCCCTTATTTTGATTCTCTCTCAATGTCATACTCATATACTTACATTTCAATCTGCTGACAATACCTGGTCCATACTGCAATTCTTCACTTGAATCAGATTCACAAGTCTCATCAATGGAATGTTGACAATTATTGTTTTCACTCATAATAAAGCGGTTTTTGGTCATGTTAGCTACACAGTTGTCCACAGTAGTACTTGAAGCACTAAATTTCTTCAAATATTTTTCTTCCCCCATTCTGGAACGATATTTAACGGAATTCTGTTCAACTGCTATGTCCAAGCCGACGCCATTAATCACAAAATCACTTCCCCCTTCAACTCGATGCTCTACTAGCCGCATGTTCCCAACTACTGAAGCTGAGACTGTACTAGCAGTGGATGAGTCGTTAATGCGCCCTCTGAGGTGAAAGTCCTCTTGGGTTTGGTCCAGTACTCCCTTGTTCGAGGCTATTGCAGACGAAATGCAACGTTGCGGTTTATCACTGACGTTTTCTCCAGCTGCTGCCAGCTCGGGATGTCTCACCGCGGTCACAACACTCGGGCAGGTGAGCTTCACTGAAGTGTTACCTGCAGGCAAAGTCCGTGCAAGAGTTCGTCGTCGCAAGATAAGCTCCCGCTTCCACTGTGGAATGCTTTGATCCACACCACCATTTTCCTGAGAACTTGTTGCCATTATTTGTGTTTCCTGCCGGCTGTTATCAGCACCACAACTTCCTCCCTTATACGACACTTATTGGGTAATTTGTTTGCTAGACACCGTCAGAGTGATTACACAACCGTCAAGTGAAAGGCGGGAGCAATTGTGAGCTAAAAAATCGTTATTAACTAAAGTGTCGTTTAATTCCTCCGCTACAAAATACATGTTGGTTTCAAATTTCGAAACACTAGGGTTCACAGTACACCTGTACTTTTATAAAATAACCAGTGGATACTATTTACACGGCAAATTTGTGTGAAAATCGACGGTCCCTACCACCAAATCCAATAAGACAACTTCTCATGACGTCACTCCGAATATTTACACCATCTATCGGTAACATCTGTAATTTCGCGTAGAACCGGCTTCGAGAGTAAAATCGATATTGGATCCCTCTACTACAACGAAACAAAATCGTCAAAGGCGCAAACGTTGCTTTTATGTGTCTTACGCCAGTCCGAAATAAACATAAGACTATACAGATGTACATGAATATAAATATTCATGTACATTCTGAGACCACATCACGAATCCATATTCATATATCAACGAATATAAACCCATTATTTCAACAAACTTCAACGCTGCGTTTTTCGCTTTCATTGTCCAGCTTCGATGGTTCAATAGGATTGAAAGCCTAAATATGTCAAAAAAAGATACAAGTTCAGGTGAAATTGTATTTCAGTGAGGATTGACTATATCGTCTTTTGCCGTTACGAAATGAATTAATTTTCTTGTTTCACGAACGAATTTTGATTACATTTAACGTTGTTGAACCATACTTTACCTTATCGATAAATTTAATTTAGAACAGAATAGAATAAAGTGTAATTCATTAATATTCCATAGATCCTTCATAGACCTAGCCAAGTACAGTATAACCGCAAACACAAGAAAGCATAACCATTGAAGATGGCTGTCTTCCGGGTTGTTGCATCAGGGTGATGGAGGCAACAAGAACCTCTGAAACGTCTGTAAACTTCTACCAGGCTATATAGCGCAACAACCCAGAAGACAGCCATCTTCAGACTCACCACCATGAAAACTTCAAATCGTACTTGCTATGTCTGCCACCAGACACAGATTTTGTCACCTTGGAAAAGTTATATTTTATAAATTGTTGTTATATAGTTGCACAGTTATTCAATTCAGTTCAATTGTATGAATGCAATAAAGCAATCAAAGTCTCCAATATTTGAGGAAGAGTAATAAGAGAAGAATAAACTAGGCTGTATCAGGGGAATGGCATTACAAATATATATGTTCACAAGGAAATGGGGTCTGGTATTAAATACACAAACAACAACAAGAGGTGGGAAATTGTGCACTGGTTACTATTAAAAAAAAAGAAAATAGTACTTTTGGGAGAGGCTGAGGAACAGGGAATACTGAAACTAAAAAAGGGTCCATTCCTTGTGGCTGTTTACTAATTATTAATTATATATATTTGTTTGAATTTAGTGCCTGTAATACAATTCAAAGGTAATTAATTACAGTCTTAAAGATGACAGTCTTATGTAATATTGTGCCATGTAGATTGGTAGAAGTTTACCAACATTTTGGAGGTATGTGCTGCCTCCATCATCAGGGCACAACTTCCCAGAAGACAGTCATCCTCATGTTTGGCACTATGAGAACCAATTAATCTTTGGTTTCTGCATTTTCAGGTCATTAAGGTACACACTACTCATACTGCGCTGCATGTAGATACTAATTCTGATTACCCCATTTAACCTAATAATCATTCATACAGAATTTTATGGTTTGGTCTTGACTAAGAAATGCTTAGCACTGTGAGTTAAAGCCAAATTTGGCACAACTGTGCATTGTGACAGAAAACTATCTAATGTGGTCTCAGATTATACAGAAATAAGTCCTGAATTACTATTCAGGACAATTTTTGCATTCTGCTATTAGTGAATCAAATGAAGCCTGTAATGAAGTTCAACCATTTAGCTTTTTTTAAGCTCTTTAATTACATTCACTACATGATCATGGAATTGCTCATCTAACAAATGATTAAGTATTATGTACAGTACATATTTTACAAAGACTTGAACTTGTGAGCACATGGGGAAGATTATATACATCGTATAAATATATGTACAATAGAAGGCATAGTATCTACATTTAATAAAAGTATACGTAACACTGATGAGTCTTAAAATTGGCTGTGGTCATCTAAATTGTGACACTGTATGGTCTTGCAGGTTACCAATGTTTTTGAGGAAAGGTGGTAATTACATAAAAGACCACACAGCTTTATAACTCAGAAGACCATTCTTAGTAACTTGGGAACATCAAATATCAGACAGTCTTCATGTTTGTGTATTGTACAATAGATACCATACTGAAGTAAGAAATAAGGTCCTCACGTGTTTGCTGTATAGAAATTCTGTGGCATGTTACACATGGTAGATATTGCAGCCTAGATTAGGCACAACTACATAGAAACAGATCTTGGCTTTTATCAAAGCTTTCAGTGTAGAATCTGCACAAGTTTTATTGTGTTTATATACATGATCTTGGAGTCTTGGTATGAATTGGAAATTTATAATTCTTTACAGTTTGAGCATAAATGTATAACTAAAGAGGTGAGTTAATCACTGCCATTTATTTAAGATTTGTGGAACAGAATTCTAAGGATGACATAAGTTGTACAAGGTAATGCCTATAGTTTTTCCATACCACTTCAAGAAATGCAAATGTTTCCTTAATACCATGTAATTATTGATATCCATTCAAAAAGCTTTATCAGCATTTACCATAAATTTGAACTCATTCCCAAAGTTATTACGGACATTGTGTGGAACAAGAACACTCAATTCTAATTAATATTAACATCTGAGTAATACAATGCACAACGTTCAAGTAAATTCAGTGCATCATGTTCTAAAATTCAAGTGTGAAGAAGAGCACAAATTAATGTAATACAGTATATCTGTCCACACCAATGGTTCTTTACTTCTTCTTTCCTATATTAGTTTCAAAATAAAGATGAAAAGATAAGGTGTCATCAGAATAATGACCAAGAAAGGCAATAAATAGAAGTGAACTAAAAACTTTATATATGGTACTTAGTCATGAATATAATGGCTGTGAAAGTAGTTACATGGACATCTGTGTGGTAATTCACACAATTCAGATTGAATTCTTAGCTGGTTTTATGTTGATATTCATCTAAAAATATGTCTAACCATTATATGGACATGAATCTGTTACTACATGGCTTTATGTATCTACCATAAATGTGAATGATTAAGGTTATGATTCACATTAATATTGTTTAAACTCTATGATATGGGAATAGAGAATTTCACTGGACTCCAGGGAATACCAGTCAGACTTTAACTTCTGGGTAAATGGTTTATCGGTAAGCTAGTGTGACACAGGGACTGCAGAGGCTAATTGGTGTAAGGCTACTGAATTTTCTGGTTGCTGAATGTGAAAGGTGTACCGGAGGTCATACATCCTCTTTTTTTTAGCTTAGATCACCGTGATCAACAGTTATCAAATTTTGCAGATAATCAGCTTACAGCATGATAGAAGGTAGAAGTTTACTGAAGTTTCAGAGGTGCTTGCTGCCTCCATCATCAGCACTCATAGCCCTGATGATGGAGGCAGCAAGCACCTCTGAAACGTCGGTAAACTTCTACTAGACTACAACCAAGAAAACAGTCATCTTCATACTTACTGCCATGAGAATCTCACATCTTATACAAAGATTTTGATTCTGTAATATCACATAACTAACCGCAAGCTGGAAGTATTCATTGCAAATTATACTTCCAAATTTGGTTACTTTAATTAATTAATTAATTTTAAAAGAACAAAAAATGGCATTTACATAGGACTGTGTTATATGTATCTTGATGACTAGTCATGTGATCTGAAAAACTAGAATATATGTATGAAGTCAAGAAATTAAGTTCATAATTCTTAATTTCTGATAGTTTAACGTTTTTTATTGCAATAGTGTAATATTTACCAGAAACTCTGTTGTATCTCAAGTATGTTGAGTACAATGGCTTTCACTGCAGCAAAGAAGTGTATTTAAAACAGAATATATCAATAATGCCCTGATGGAAGCAGGGGAGTCTTGAGGGTGAAGGACTTTATAAAATGTTTCTAATCATTATTACATTTCTTGGTCACATTGTGTTAACCCATAACAAGTGATGTGCAGTCTGTGAGACTGCAGCAGAAGATAAAATATATACCCCCCTCCAGAGAATATGGCTTGAAATTTTCTTTTTTTCTCAGTACTTTCTTATTTTTTATATTTTGTTTCCTTTCCTTCTTTGAACCTTTGATATTGTTTGTATTGTGAAATTTAATCTGACAGCAGTTTGGTAGATTGCACATCAATGGTTACATGACTGTTTTGACTCGGCCATTGTTGTGTATACCATGGATAGGAGCACAGGAACATTGAAGTGGGTTACACCTCCCACTTTTGGAGAATAAGTGCTTGGGTGCCTTGGATTGACAGTGGAAGTGAATGTACAATTGAAAGTTAACTCAACACAGAATATGCTGAGGCACTGTGACAAAACCAATATTCGGACAAACAAAAAAAATTGATCATTTCTTCATGTCTTATACAGAACATAATGTGAATTACCAAAATGTGCCACTTTGTCCAGATTTCTTAGTGAAAGAGTAAAAAATTAACACCAATTCCTAAATTTGTGTTTCTCTTCATGAGAATCCTGTAGAAGTTTTCAAAAGTGTTAAGAAAACTGACTAAATGGTTTCTTTTAAAAGTTTTTGTGTGATATATATGCCATGAAATATATGTAGCATTAAGTTTATAATTCTGTTGAAAGCTGAATAAATCTGGGATCAGATAGGACTACCAGAACTCAAACAGTCTCTCAGACCTCACACCACTGTTAGTGCTACAGAAAATCCATGTCACTGGTTAAGGGTTAATGAGAACACTTAGAATATATTAATTATGGAATTATTTGCTTCAAGCAAACAGAACAGCATTCTGAATTCTTTTAATTAATGCGTTGTGTCAGGGGTCTCATTCTTGTTGTCTTTGGTCAGTATTGCATATATATATATATATATATATATACATACACGCACATAATATTTTTCAAACATGCTTCCAGTAGGTAGCCACCTATTGGTAACTTCACTGCAAATTATTAATTAACAACAAGTTTATATGTCATGTAGACGCTTGGTATAGCTCCTACTCATTCTAAACCTTGGCACTAGATAGGGGTCAGTGGTCAGTCTTATACCCCATCCGCACTTTATCCCCGGGAAAGGACTCCTATTATAAGGATTTTGGGTAGGCCCCAGAGCTGGTCTGGATGCAGAGGCTGGAGGAAAAATGCTCTGCCCCCGTCGGGGATCGAATCCCAGTAGTCCAGTCCATAATTAGTCACTATACTGACTGAGCTTCCCAGCTCTCAACAATAAGGTTATTCATAACCTAATTTCACTAATTTATAATAAATTGTCTTACAGATACTTACACACAGAGACAACTTCTTGCAAAGTCACTGACCGACATGTTTGAACTGGAAATGAACATGTACTGGTAAGCTTACTAATTTACATAAACTTAATAGAGTAAAAAATCAGAAACAAATTAAATTAATGAAGGTGCCTCCATTATACACCAACTTGTCTTTATTTTCTCACATAGAAAGGATATCTTATTGGAAGATTATGTCCATCTGTTTGCCAGTGATCCATTTATGTTGTAATACTATAAACACAATTTTTTCTTACAGAAAATTAACACTGTTTACACAGCAAAGGTCATCCAAGGAAGGTGAGACAAAATCACACCAAAAACTAAATACTGAAATTAAATAAATATTATGTCTAACAATATTTCTTGAATCTTTATACCCTGACAGAGATTTTGTAATACTGAATTTTCCTGTTAATAACAACCTATGGTGCTATAATTTCAACCAAATTTGTGAGATAATAGTACTTTCAAATAAAATTTATATGAATATTTATGGATAAGGCTGTGCCTTATGAGTTGGATGCTTGAGACCCCTGTTCTATTTCATTAATTTGTTTTAAAGACTATTACAGATATTAGTGATTTGTCTTCACTACTTGAATCAGTGGAGTGGCAGTTATTAAGTTGACTTCACATCTGATTTTTCATAAACATTTTGTACTAGCTGGTTTGAGAAGTTATAATCCACAAATTGGAATATAAAATTCTGTATCTGTCTCTTTTTAATATTTCATTTCTTTGGTCTTCAGGATACACAGTAAACCACGGTTGCAGTCAGGTATTATTCTCAGAGTTTGTTGAGAGATGTAGTGGTAGTATTTTCATTTTCCCATTCACTACCACAAGCAGGATAGTACACACATGGTCCAGGAGATGGTGCATGTGGTATTCTGGTACTACAGTGCATACTGTTGCTATTTCTACTTGTCGTGCTGCCATTTCTGATGATAGCAGTGCCAGTGCGATGAAGGTGGTACATGTGACTATTCCTAAGAGAATAATTCCTTCCATCTCCATTGGATACAACACTATCATCATGAGTGTTAGCATCAGGTGAGTCTCTTCCCCCGATACCCATCCATCCATGGGAACAAAACAGTTTCAGAAACAGTCGTTTAAATTTCTCCCCAAATATAACATATATAATGAAATTCACAGAGGAGTTTATAGTGATCAGCATGTCACTGGTTGCAACTACTTGATCCAGTGGGCTGCCATAAAATGCTTCAAGTACATTGTTAACTAATGCAAGGATGTTGCACAGGAAGAAGACAACCACCACACATAGTAACATGGTAGCTAGTCCAATCTCCTTCTTCTGTAGTCGTGATAGACGCTGCCGTTCTTGGTTTGCACGCCGAACCTGTAACACCCACAATATGAGGAAGACAAAGTATGGATAATTTTCTTAAATGTGTTACAAGGAAACTTTAATAATCAGAGAACTGTATGTTAATTGTCAAACTTTGTTTAAATTATTAGTGTGATGTGGTTCAGTGGTTGCTTTTCAGATAGATGTTTAGTTTATGGAGTGAATGGGTTAATCCATAGGTACAATTTCCAATGTCACGATTCTGCAAAATACAGTTTGGAAATCACTGCTTTAGTGAACTGATAACCAAAATGTTAGACCTCCTGAATAATAGTATTCTTTTCTGTACTGAAAGTATGCTCTCAACTTGACAATTTAAAGAATGACTCAATTGACTGACTGTGATGACACATGGGAGTCAATTTTGCCAAAAATGTACTTCATCTGATAAATGGATAGAATAGCAGACCTTAATGTGTCACAGTTGGCTGTCGCTTTGTTCTGCTGTGCGTAGTCTAACTGATAAGTATAGAGAATCCTGTCACTGATTTTGAGTCATATACCTTTTCTCAGTTTCAAGAAGACAGCAGCACATTTCACTTGGATGAATAAGTTACTCTGAAAGCCAAAGCCAGAGATTACTTTGAAAAAAATATTTTTCAAGGCATTAGTTGCATTTGAAATGAAGGCAAGAAATTTATCTGCAAATAGATTTAGCACAGACATACAAGACTATTACTATGCAATTGAGAATCAATAAGTTTGTTTTATCAGATACCTGTTTCTATTGATGTGGGTTAGTCCATATCCTGAGGGAGGAAATGCAATGGGGGCTCTGAAGTTTCCCTTTCTATCATCTTACCTTCAGCCACTTTCATACACTATCCATAGCATTTCTTTAATTGTCTCTTTTGCCTTCCTCACTGGCCCTCTTTGCATGCTGGACACTTTGAACATAATCTCTATATTCAACATAAGTCCTTTGTGTATTATATACCTTTACTACATCAAATAACAAATTTGGAAATCATACGTTTACGGGCAGAAATAGCTACAAACACTGACACTTTTAAACCCCCCTCAAAAAAAATCATATATACCTGTTGATAGATGGCAGCATTCAGCACTGCTAAACTGGTGAATGGGAGGAAGTAGATGAAGATGAGGTAAAGCCAGTGAATGTAGATGGTAATGTAGATTGGGTTGACTCGAAGTTCAGTCATATTGACTTCATACAAAGTGGTGTTGTATTTAGATTCATATGACAGTTCTACAAGTTGTACTTCCCAGAAGCGTGGCAGATTGTACAGGGTTGAGAACACAATGATGAGTATGACGTACAGACGTGCTCGTCCATATGTGCACAGGGACCTCGCTTGCAATGGGTGACACACAGCAACAAATCGTTCCAGAGTCACAGTTAGTGTCAAGTACACTGACACAGTTTGTGCAATGAGGGCAAGTGGATAAAGGATGAGTACTAGATGTGGGTAAACCTTAAACAAAAGGAACATTTGTGATCAGTTACAGAAATACACAAACCTAATAATATTTATTGTTTTACAAGAGTGCGAAACTTATCTTAGAGAAACGCACAGATTGAGGATGTTTCAGAGTAGAGTGCTAAGGAGGGGAAGAAACAGGAGAATGGTGAAAATACATAATGAGGATATTCATAATTTGTGTGTTTAGGATGAGAAAATCAAGGAAAATAGCATGGATAGGACACAGAGAGATGAGAAATGCACAAAATTATAGTCAACGAAGTTGGAAAAGATTAATCAGTAGAGGTATACAGAGAGGCGAGGTTGATATTAACATTTATCTTACAGGAATATAATATGAGGATATTGACTGTTCATCTGGCTCAAACAAGGGTAAGCTGCTATGCTATGAAGTTTTTCCTGTACACTAGGATTAAGTATTCGTTATGTTTGATTGGTATAAGTTACATAGGATCAGATTGCGTTGCATTCGCTTAGGTTGGGTTGGGATAGGTTAGGTTAGGTTTAGCTAGGTTAGCTAAGGTAAAGTTATGTTGCTAGGGCTAGGTTAGATAACGTTTTGTTTTGTGATGGGTTAGATTGTCCTGGAGAATTTCTAGCGTGTTCATCGGGTGGTCGTGGGTATGTCCTGGAGAAGTCCTGGAAAAATCCTGGATAAGACGTAGAGTGGTGTAGGATAAGTCCTGGAGAGTTTATGCGGAATTTTATTGGTCATGGAGAAGTGCTGGAAAAATTATGGAGAAGTAGGGAAAAAAGTCCTGGAAAGTTATGTGGAACTCCTTATGCGGTGGTGGGTTTGATCCTATGCGGGTCGGTTATTTTGGATTCGTTTAATTCTGATTGGGATAAGTTACATTGGATTATGTTGCGTTATTTTGTGTTAGGTTGGGCTAGGTTAGGTTAGCTACGTTAGGTTATGTTACAGTGGTGGTCCTTCCATAGCAGCCGCAGAGCTGCAGCACCCCCTTATAATATTTCAAAAATTGAAAAATTTAATTTTTGTGTTTATATAATTTTTAACACTTTTTTCCTCTTTATCATTATTTTAATATTGCCCCTTACGTTGTCATTATCCACTAATCGGCTGAACTGTTAGTAAGTCCTCGGGCGAGGAGTGCGAAGCAGAACGGGACAATCATCTGGCTGCTAGAATTTCAGCCTCGCTACCCGACCAAATGTAGAGAGCGCGGCGGGCGGTAGAGTGAGGGGCAGTTCACTGGTACAACGCGTATCGGAGCTGCAGTCCCCGCAGCCGGCTTATAGTAAACGCCCTTGCCCGGTACCACGTGTTTTAGACTGGTTTCTGTATCACAAACTGTTTCGTGGTTATTGCTAATGAGTGTTCAATAATTCTGTGTGCTGACTATTTTTGTTCTGATAATGATAATGAGCAAAGGAAGTGTATCATAGTTACGGCAAATTACTTTTTGTGTGAAAAATGATGTAAAAATCATGTCCGCCCTCTTCCGGACTTACAAATAGTTAAAACATCATCGAGCACGTATGGGTTTTCTCCCGATGTAATTTTACTTTTCCTTTATTTATATTGTTATGTGTTGAAATACTATTCTGATTTTTCCCTCTTGCGCAGCACTATCACTGCTCAGACTCACGAGCCGCCACTGCAAATTATGAGGATTACAATAAACATTTAACATTATACGTAAAAAATTGTGTTACTGAGGGACTGTACAATTTTGATCTAAAATTTCCAAGCAAGAATCTCATGTATATGAAACACACTGAATTGGAATCCAGGAGCACAGCATTTAATAACATTCCTTAGTCTTACCTTGAAGTAGTACAGGAACAAGCATCCTGTGTACTTGTAGATGGCAGGAATACCGAATAGCAGTACAGATGTTATAATGAGTACAGTGTCACATCTTGCTAAACCAATTAGAAGATAGTTAATAGAAGATTTCATCTGAGGGCGTGAAAGAATGATCATGGAAATGATGTTGCCAAATATACCCAGAATACCAATAACATTTAGTATCACACCATTTGTCACAAACTCATACAAAATCTTCCTTTTGTCCTCGTCATCAGATTCTGAATACAACACTCCGCGCAGATCCAGTGTATTGCTATTGTTCATCCTGCACTAGTGGCAACTTCTGCTGTGATACCAACCCACACAAGCAACTTCCTAAAATTTCACTAGAGTTTGACGCCAACAATCCTTTCAGTCTTTATTATGATATAAATTACAGACTTTGTGAGGACTGCAAGATAATCTGTTGTCATCACAACAGGTCATGTACGGTCATGTAAGCACTATAATTTCCCTTTAGAAATAAAAATTTAGATTACATCTTGAATTGTGAATAAAATTTAAAGCAATATTTGTATTATGTTTTGAATTTCCAATGTGGAAGGAAACGAAGAAGTGTATATAAACTGAATGGATTCATCATTCTATTGTTGATTTATATCTTTCACAGACTGATCTTCTGTTGATATCCTCAGGTGGCAGCATGAGATGTTTGCTAATCTTCAATGGACATTTCTCTGGTGCAGATGTGTTGCTTATTGTTACCCACCTGTGAAACAAGAAACAAAGAATGTCAGCTTCTCTTAAAATTAAAAAAAAAAAGTGAAATCTGAGATCACAAGCTTGAAAAATGTAATTTTCTGTTTTTTTTAGAGAAGGATGATGAATGTCAGTTGTGGTCTTCTTGAATGTGATAGCCCGTGGTCTTGTATGGGATTAATATTATTTCAATGCAATGTACTGTCTCCATATTCAGTGTGAAAATGTCATATTTTATGACATAAAATATTAATGTACTGTAAAATGTATTTTATGGACAACAAGAGAATAGACAATAAAATAAAAAACTTCATGAACTGCAATAAATTTAGCATTTCTAATTTCTGTAGCATATTACATTTTAAGTTAAATTAGATGATACCGAAGTTCTAGCTACCTCAAGGATTGTTTCCATTTGTTGCTGTCTTCCAACTGAATAAATATCAAGCAGTGGCTGAAGTACCTGGAAATCTGCTCTCATTGTCCTGTCTATGGAGGCCCTTATTATTCCATGCATATCTTCTCACCTAAAGGAAATAACAATGAATTTTTATGCTTGGTTTATAAATATTTTGAATGTAGTCATGTACCTATATTTTATGTAAATCATTTAAGTCTGTAAGATTTGAGGTTTTCACAGCAGTGAGTATAAAGATTTCAGTCTTCTGGGTTGTTGCGCCATGTAGTCTGGTCGATGTTAACCAACGTTTCAGAGGTCATACTGCCTCCGTCATCAGGGCGATGAGTATCGACCAGACTACGCGGCGCAACAGCCCAGAAGACAGAAATCTTCATTTAAGTCTGATAACAGGCTTTTCCAGTCCTGCCCACCCAATCTTCCAACTTGGTTCTTTGTGGTCAGGAAATAGACAGTTGGCCACACAGGAATGTTACCAAAGCAAGTACAAATCAGTATTAAATTAGGAAAATTATAAATTTAGGAAACAATTATTTAGTACAGAATCCATTATCATACAACTTCTATTACATTAATTGTCATGTTATGTAGACTTGCATGTTTCAGCCCTCAAAAGGCCATCATTAGTATCTTCTTCATGCATTCACATTTGATTAAAGTGCACCTTTACAATCTTATAAGCATTAACATTTTAAAACACAAGAAAAGTGCAACAGTAATACGATAATGTTGGCTAGAGTTAGTGAGTTGTAGCAAAGTACAATCATTCCAGTTAGTATTTTAACCTAACACTTTTGAATTTTGAATTTCAATTATTTAAGTTTTGGATTTTAAAAAACATAATAATTTCACAAGTTTAATACTTATAGGGTTGTAAGGTTGAATTTTAACTAATAGTAAACACAATGAAGAGCACTGATGATGGCTTCATGAGGGCTGAAACATGAATGTCTATATAACATGACAGCAAATGTAATAAGAAGTTGTTGGTATGGGAAATGATTACTCACATTCAAAATTACATGATATGAAGAGTTATACCATTATCATCCAGTTTACTTTCCTGAACACTTAAGATCACGGTATACAGAGTGAGTCAGAAGTATGTTCACAAACTTCATGTGCGTGTTCCAGGATCAAAAATAAGATAAAATGATCCTATGAACATGGGGTTGCAAATATTTCATTTTAGAAACAATGACGTACACAAGGCTGACGAATTCGTTCGTACACACCAGGGTTTCCTCGAATCATCTGGCATGCATTCTGCACACGTTCCCACAGATCATATTCATTGTTTATGGGTGTTGCATAAACTATGGACTTCAAGTGACCCACAGATAAAAGTCCAATGGAGTCAGGTCTGGTGACCTCGGTGGCCATGCTACTGGGCTGAGGGTACTGTTCATCGAGATGATATCTGACGCGATGGGAGAAGTGTGCTGGGGCTCTGTCGTGCATAAACCACATTTGTCTTTTTGTATTTAGTGGTATATCTTCAAGGAGATGTGGCAAGTGTCTTCTTAAGAATCACCAATATGAAGGTCCTCTTAGACGCGATGGAAGCATGTGTGCACCAATAAGCATGTTGCCAACATTTTCTGCCCAAAAGTTAATTGAAAATGTTTGCTGGAAGCTGGATTCACTTTGATATAAAGTCACTTCATTGAAACATTTGCGACCCCATGTTCATAGGAACATTTTTTTCTTATTTTTTATCCTGGAACACGCACATGAAGTTTGTAAACATATTTCTGACTCACTCTGTATAACATAAATATTTTGAATTATTCTCTATGGTCATGCAATGTTGTGTCTTACTCTGAAAGAATAACATAAATTATAAGCATATGCAAACAAATTGCTGAGTAAAAGAAGAATGAAGTAAGTGGGCAATATGGGACATCATGCAACAAGGAACTTCATAATTTATACTGGGCATCCAGGATTGTTAGTTTACCAGTAGGGAAATCAAAGTGGCTATGATGGGTAAAATATATAGCACACATGGCAACTGAGAAATTCATAATTTATTTAGTCTGAAGACCTAAACAAAGTGACATTTTGGGATAATGAGGTTTACATGAGAAGATAATACTAAAATGGACACAAAAATGTAGTATGACGCTATTAACTGGATTAATCTGGTTCAGGATTAGGTCCAGCTGTAGGCTCTTGTGAACATGTTTATGAACATTCAGATCCACAGAATACTGGGAATTGCTTTATTGTCTGAATGATTATCAGCTTCTCAAGAAGCACTACTCCACTTAATTAGTCAACATATTCAGGATGCCATAGCAATTTGCATTTAGTGAGCACAATATTAACAAATATAAATATAAATAATCAGATTCAATTATTTTCAATTATACAGATTGACACATTTCTTATCTACTTCTTTCTGAAGTTTATTTGCACGAAGAGCTGACTACAGCTGACACAGTGCACTGCGTTTATCTCATCATTCTAGACTGCATTCAGATGCACAGTATTACATCTGACATAAACACTTTAATTACAGCAGGTCATTGATCTAATTTTATGCTAAAATGAAATTAAACCCCGCTATAATTAAATACTAGGCAAGCTGTAATTTCCACGAAAGACAATTAACATGTCTCATCTGAATTTCAATCTGACTGCAAGTTCACTGCTCCATGAAACATTCTTCAATGTAACTGACTCGTTGAATCAATTAAATACTGAGCTTCATAGCACAAGGGAAACAACAAAACTATTATCTGTTATTATAGATACTGTTTAAACATGCATTTCGCTTTCAAGTAGGCAATTTAATTTTAATAATATTAACTTATAATAATCTTTTAGTTTGTTTTACATTGCACAATCTAACCGCCACGGTGGGCTTGTAATACTGGGGTCCCGGGTTCGTTCCCGGCGGTGCTCAGATTTTCGACTTGTGTTGGGCAAGGCCGTGGTCCAGGCATCACGGAGTTTTCCTCCGGGGTTTCCCCTGTTTCTCCGTGGCATCCCAAAAATTACTCCACTTTCATCATCATTTCGCAATAAGGGGGTCGCAGCAGGAGCGTTAAATGTCGCGATCCCGATCGAACCCATGTACTGATGGGTCGTGCATCCTGCTAACCACCAATGCACACCATGCTGAATGGTGTGCTGGACACGAAAAAAATAAAAATAAATATAAAAAATGCACAATCTATAGAATTTCATAAATTTATTTATTTTTCCATAGCAGATTATTTATATATAAAATTAATTGTCTATTTATTTGTACTTATGAATGGTCTCAAAATGTTTTCACACATGCAACTTCTAAATTACAAACCGGAAAGTTTATACCACAACCTGCAACAAAGCCTTAGATAATAAAATACGACTTAAATAAATGGAACGTGAGGGTGTAAATTGTATAAATATAATTCAGGAAATAATTCAGCGGTCGGATATTGTAAGCACAGTAATTAACTATCATGTTCCATAAAGCGCGAGGTAAACCATTATTACGTTCTCAAGATGGACTATGTTCTGTGGAGCCAGTTACTTGGACATACTTATGGCAGGAAGAATATTTTGCAATTCAAACTTGCTAAATAATAGACTTATTACAGGAGTAATTGAGTTCTGTTCCTAATTTCTAAGAGAAGCATTTTTGCTTGGAAATTGTGTTAGCTTCTTGTTTTCGATTGGTTCACTTATATTACATTCGTTCGTGCGAAAGGGCAGACAGTACCAGTCTGCTGGTTATTGCAGAACGCTTTATCACTTGGGATGTGGAATAATGATAAGAAATCCACCTGCTACTGCTGAGTGCTCTTTAATTGAAAATGCACCGTCTCTGTAACAGGGGCTCTCATTAGCAATGTGACAGAAACCTGGTGCTATGTTTGTACTGTTATTGGCAAATGATAATGAAGACGAACTTAATATAACATCATACAGTTTTCACAGCCCAAGACCTGCAGCGCGGAACATGTCTGACCTTTGGCTATTCAATGATGCTGTTTCAGCTACATCAGAAAGCTTTCGAACTTTACATGCAAGGATTTCGAATGAGTAGGTTGTAGTTTCTCTGAAGTTAAATATCAGGGCAGTCACATGAGATAATCCACTTAAAGTTTATACAACAAATTAAGATTGGGGAAGTCTGAAAAGAGGGCGCTAAGGAGAATTTTGGACCTCAGAGAGAAAAAGTAACAGAATGTGGAGAAATACATATTGAGGAGCTTCATAATTTGTTGCCCTCTTCAGAATTATTGTATAGATAAAATGAAGAATGATTACATGGGTGGACATATTTAATAATGAAGAGAATAAAAAATGCATACAGAATTTTGGTCAGGAAACCTGAATTGTTTGAATGGAATGAACAGACAACTTGTGAGACCTAGACGTAGATGGGGTAATAAAGTGGATAATAAGGAAATAGAGTGCAAGGGCGTGGACTGGATTAATTTGGCTCAGGACGGACGGACGGACGGACTCCTGTGAGCACGATTGTTGTCGTGTTATCTCGTGAGATTTTTCAACATAGCTAAAAGCATGCAACAGCAGCATTTTACACCGCGATGATCAGCTCTTCCGGCAAGTGTTACCAAGACGTTATAACACGAAAACGTTAAAAAGTGGACATAGTAAATCATAGCGCACATTACTCAAAGTAGGTTAATCCGACCTGGTAAATTTCCTACGCAGTGCGTCGACGTAAGGTTTTAAACAAATATTTTATAACCATGAACTACGAGCCAAATCAACACACATAATAGACAGTGTTTTCCATATTACATCGGCCACAGCAGTGTTTCAACTCTGATTGTAAACCGTAACACGTTACTTCCAGTATTTTTATCAACCAACAGTTTAAAGCTAACGTAACTAACGTAATACATACTAATACTGGTGATCGCCTTATAGGCTGAAACCGTCTGGTTGTTAATTTCAGGTTAATTTTAATAACCAATTGTGCCACGGTTGGTGGTCTATACTTTTATCTATCCTTTGAACGCGACACTGAAGAATTTTATTCCATAAAACACTGAGAATTTGACAAGCTCAGCGACTATTCGCCCTTAAGAATGATTCTGTTGTATGGTTAGGTTATTAGGGGCTGAGCGAAATACGTAAGAT